AACAAAGGGTTGAGGTTGAAGAGCCAAGTGTTGTCGAGGTTGAAAAGAGTCCGGAAGAGTTGAAAGTGCAAAAAGAGAACCGGGAAGAGGTAAAGGAAAAAGTGAAAGAGGCACCAAAAGCTCTTCCACCTATTCCCAGACCTCCTCCCCCATTTCCTCAAAGACTCGCAAAAAAGATTGATGATAGCAAACTTGAAAAGTTCTACGACATCCTCAAGCAATTAACGGTGAATATCCCTTTTGTGGAAGCCTTTCAAGAGATGCCGGGGTTTGCTAAATATTTAAAAGATTTGATCACCAAAAAGAAGACCACAAAGAATGAGGTAATAAACATGACTCACCGGGTTAGCTCTATTATTGCCACAACCAAAGTCCAAAAGAAAGAAGACCCGGGAGCTTTCACCATCCGTTGCACCATCGGGGCCCGTGATTTTGCAAGAGCTTTATGTGATAATGGGGCTAGCATCAACTTAATGCCTCTTGCCATCTATAAGCAAGCGGGGTTGGGTATGCCAAGGCCCACTAGTATGAGATTGCAAATGGCCGATCGGTCAATCAAACGCCCGGTGGGAATTGTTCACGATGTACTTGTAAAAGTGGGGAAGTTTCATTTGCCCGCCGATTTTGTAATTCTTGATTGTGCGGTTGACAAAGAAATCCCTATCATTTTGGGGAGACCATTCCTAGCCACGGGAAGGGCACTCATGGATTCGGAGCGGAATGAAATTAAATTCCGGGTGAATGATGAAGAAGTCACATTTCAAGCGAGCAAGGGTATGAAAATACCCCATGAGTATGAGAGCATTTCAGTGATAGATGTTGTTGATGAGGTAGAAGGTGCCGTAGAATGAAAATGGAAGAACAATGCTTGGTGAGGCATTGGCGGCTATCTTGGTTAACTTTGATGGTGAAGACATGGATGGGTACATGGATCCTACACTTATACTCCGGCAAAGCTTTCTCTTGACTTGGAGAATAGGGCCACACCTCCCGCCAAGCCATCAATCATTGAGCCACCACAACTAGAGCTCAAGCCACTCCCCCTGCACCTAAGGTATAAATTTCTTGGCTCTAATGATACTTTACCCGTAATCGTTTCGTCTTTGTTAAATGATGTGCAGGTAGAGCAATTATTGGAAGTCTTGAAGGAGCATAGGCAAGCCATTGGATGGACAATTGCGTACATCCGAGGGATTCCCGCGGGAATTTGTGAACACAAGATCCAATTGGAGAGTGACACGAAGCCAAGTGTGGAGCATCAACGACGGTTGAACCCGTCAATGCAAGAGGTGGTAAAAAAAGAAATCTTCAAGTGGTTCGATGCCGGGGTGGTCTTCCCTATTGCCGATAGTTCTTGGGTGAGCCCGGTGCAATGTGTACCGAAAAAGGGAGGCATGACCGTAATTGAAAATGATAAAAATGAGCTCATCCCAACAAGAACGGTGACTAGTTGGAGGGTGTGCATGGATTACCGGAAGCTCAATAGTGCAACATGCAAAGACCATTTCCCTATGCCTTTTATTGATCAAATGCTTGATCGGCTAGCGGGAAGGTCATTCTATTGTTTCCTTGACGGGTATTCCGGATACAACCAAATCAACATCACATTGGAGGATCAAGAGAAAACAACATTCAGTTGTCCCTATGGAACTTTTGCCTTTAGTCGGATGTCGTTCGATTTGTGCAATGCTCCAGCTACTTTTCAAAGGTGCATGATGTCCATTTTCTCCGACATGGTGGAGGACTTTCTAGAGGTCTTCATGGACGACTTCTCGGTAGTAGGTGACTCTTTTGAGCATTGTCTAATCAATCTTAGACAAGTGCTTAAGAGATGTGAGAAAACCAACCTCGTGTTAAATTGGGAGAAATGCCACTTCATGGTGGAGGAAGGCATCGTATTGGGGCATAAAATTTCAAAGCATGGCATTGAGGTTGACCGGGCTAAGATCGAGATTATTTCCAAGCTTCCTCCCCCCACTTCCGTAAAAGGTGTCCGAAGTTTCTTAGGGCATGCCGGATTTTATAGGCGGTTCATCAAGGATTTTTCCAAAATTGCAAATCCTATGTGCAAGCTCCTTGAGAAAGACGCCAAATTTGTGTTTGATGAAAAATGCCTCAAAGCTTTTGAGGAATTGAAGCAAAGGCTCACCACGGCACCTATTATTGTCACACCCGATTGGTCTCTTCCTTTCGAACTCATGTGTGACGCTAGTGGTGTAGCTATTGGAGCAATGCTTGGTCAACGTCACAACAAGGTTCTCCACCCGGTATATTATGCAAGCAAGACACTCAATGGGGCGCAAATGAATTACACGGTGACTAAGCAAGATCTTCTTGCTATTGTCTATGCCTTTGAGAAGTTCCGGGCTTATTTGTTGGGATCCAAGGTGGTAGTGTACACGGATCACGCTGCTCTTCGCTATCTTATGGCAAAGAAGGATGCAAAGCCGCGGTTGATTCGATGGGTTTTACTGTTGCAAGAGTTTGACTTCGAGGTCAAGGATCGCAAGGGAACTCAAAATCAAGTGGCGGATCACTTATCAAGGCTTGAGGAAGCAGGGAGACCAAAGGAAGATCTTGAAATCAATGATGCATTCCCGGATGAACACATCTTGGCACTATCTAGCACTTTTGCTCCATGGTATGCCGACATTGCTAACTATTTGGTGAGTGACCTTATTCCGGAGGGGTTGGAGTCTTATCAAAAGAAGAAGTTCTTGCGAGATTGTCGGAAATATTATTGGGAAGAGCCATACTTGTTTCGTGTTTGTGCCGACAACATCATCCGAAGATGTGTTCCCGAAGAAGAAGTTATGCCTATTCTAAAAGCATGCCATGACTCGCCGGTTGGGGGTCATCATGGGGGAAATCGAACGGCGGCCAAGGTTCTTGAATGCGGTTATTATTGGCCTTCCATCTATCATGATTCCAATCAAATGGTCAAGGCTTGCGACCAATGTCAACGACAAGGTTCAACCTCCAAGAGGCATGAAATGCCAATGCACTTTGTGATGGAGATAGAGATCTTCGACGTATGGGGCATCGACTTTATGGGTCCCTTTGTAAGCTCTTGCGGGATGAAATATATCTTGGTAGCTGTGGACTATGTGTCCAAATAGGTTGAAGCAGTTGCCTTACAAAACAATGAGGCAAGGAGTGTGACCGCCTTCTTGAAGAAAAACATATTCACTCGGTTTGGCACTCCTAGAGCCATTCTTAGTGACGGTGGGTCTCATTTCTGTAACAAGGCTTTCTCGGGGTTACTTGAGAAGTATGGCGTTAAGCACAAGGTGGCCACACCTTTCATCCGCAGTCAAGTGGTCAAGTTGAGGTTTCCAACCGGGAGATCAAGAGCATTCTAGCAAAAACTGTTAACGCTAAATGGACCGACTGGTCAAGGAAGCTAGATGATGCACTGTGGGCATACCGAACGGCATACAAGACTCCTATTGGTACTTCTCCTTATCGGTTAGTCTTTGGTAAAGCATATCATCTACCCATGGAGTTGGAACACAAAGCGATGTGGGCATTGAAAAGGCTGAACTTAGACTGGGCTGAAGCTGCAAATTTGAGGTTAACACAACTCAATGAAATGGAGGAATTCCGGTTCCATGCTTATGAAAGTGCAGCTGTGTACAAAGAACGGATGAAGTTTGTCCATGACAAGAAGATCTTGAAAAGAGAGTTCAAGACGGGTGATTTGGTCTTGCTCTTTAACTCAAGGCTCAAATTGTTTCCGGGCAAGCTCAAATCAAAATGGTCCGGTCCATTCAAAGTGGTCAACGTCTCTCCTTATGGAGCGGTGGAATTAGAATCAACAGATGGGTCCCGGACATTCAAGGTAAATGGCCAACGCATCAAGCACTACTTGGGCACTGATGGAGAAAAACATTTGGTGGAGCAGCTGGCTCTCAAAGATGGTCCATGCCCGACCATTGAGTGAAATCAAAGGAACATCGACTTCGTCGTGCCGCGACGTTAAATCAAGCGCTTCATGGGAGGCAACCCATGTGTGGTAACACGCTTTTGTTCTTTGAACTTTTCATTTTTTTTAGATAGATTTAGTTGAGCAATTTAAAGTGTGTGTTAGAGTGCAGGGGGTTCAAAAGATCTCAACACTTGGTAGGAATGCATAAAAAGGGAAGAAAAACCACCAGGTGATGTCTGCTGCACAGATGCGGTCGCATTATCACAATGCGGACCGCATTCTGACCGCAAACCTAAACAGAGAGTTTGGTTAAAATGGTGGTCGGAAATGCGGTGAGGTGGTGCATTATGCGGTCCGCATTTCACTTATGTAACCGCAATTTGCACCGCATTTGCCTCCTCTCAGCTTGGTCTTTAACTCCACCGCATAACACATATGCGGTCGCATTACGTGTTATGCGGTGTCCCTTCCTTCGCAGAATTGACAAGGTACGTCGCATATCTCTCTCGTCTCTCACTCACTTAAAACAAAACAAAACAAAAAAGGGGGAAGTGAAAGAGAATAAAGGAGAATACAGAAACACAAAACGAAGAAAAAAATGAGAAAAAGGAGGAAGAACACGAACAGTCATTGAGATTCAAGCTCAGTTAGTTTGCAACCAAAGGACTCCAATTGTCACACTCAGTGTCCCTACCATCAAACTTTACTGGTATGCACCCGTTTCTCCCTCATTTTATTTTTATTTATTTTTTATTATTTTGCATTGTAGTTTCAGAGTTTTTTTTTCTTCGGTTTAATCATGTGCAAAAATGTGTAGCTGTTTGTGTGGTTGCTTCCCCGTAACGTAGATAACCTTGGGTTGAGCATGATTTGGGGGTAAGGGGTAGAACAAAATAGGATCGCCATTGTTGTAAGCTAGGGTAACCTATGTAGAAGACGGCATCTGCGGTCCGCATTTTCGAAAATGCAGTCCGCATTTTGGCTGCAAAATCAAACCCTAGGTTCTCTGAGGACGATGGTGACATGCGGTCGTTATACGGTCGCATAATTGCAATGCGGTCCGCATTTTGACCGCACAATTAAAACCCAACCTTGCTATTGGGGATGATAAAATGCGGTGGCTCTGCGGTCGCATAATTGACATGCGGTCCGCAAACCTACCGCAGACTTAAACAGAAAACCCAGTTTGTGAGCCTTGCATTTTGTGACCATTCTGCGATTGCATTCTCTACTTTGCGGTGAGATATGCGATCGCATTTGGTGATACATGTTTTGGGCAAGTCCAGTCTGCAATGGTTATGCGGTCCGCATAGTGGTTATACGACCGCATAATCCACCGCAGATTGAACCCACTCTGAAGCCATCAGTTTTGCGATGACTCTGCGGTCCGCATTGTGGTTTTGTGACCGTAGAGCACACCGCATTTTGAGCTTTTTCTTTTAATTCTTCTGTGTTTTCTTCCACTGTGCTTCTGTTGTCACTCACATTTCATCCTTGTGCAGATATGGCTCCCAAAAAAAAGCATGTTCTAACAAGGCCATCCTCCAGTCGTCCCAAGCCAAAAGCAAAGCGATCAAGGACGGAGTCTGATGAACCACGCCCCTCCCAGTCTGATGAGGAGGTGCTCTTGCCTGAGGTTGACCTAGTGGCTGAGGCAAGAAGGAAACAAGCAGATGCCTACCAGCTCCGCTGGGAGGTAGAGGGATCCAGGCAAAAGTATAGAGAAGGGCTCGTCAAGCGCAAACTCCTACCCGAGAAACAATTGAGCCTGAATGGGTTGAAAGAAAAGTATCCCCATATATTGGAGAACATAAAGAAGAGAATGTGGGAGTCCTTCACTGAGCCACCTGCTGAGTTTAATGAATCCCTTGTTCGGGAGTTTTACGCGTCATATGGGGCCTCCAGAACCAAGCACCATAAACG